ACCTCCTCACGAATGAATGCCTCTGCTATGGAAGCCTTAATCCTGCCTTTGTTTCCACATTTCTGACGAACAGTCTTTAGACATCTCTCGATTGGATAGCACCAACAGTTCTGCACGGCTCCCCCATTCGTACCTCGTTCGGGAGGTGCAAAATCAAATGCTGCATCGACAAGAAAAAGCCAGGTGGAAAGATCTTCTCCAACTTACAGAGCAACTCGGGTGCTGTTTTTTCCAACTCCTCAACCATTTTCGAGATATCTCCTTGGCACAAAGTCGGTGGAAGAAAAAACTCAGCTCTGCAAAGACCACCTTCCGTGACATGCTCGGGGATGTAGCCTCGAACCATCGACGAAAGAAGCCGCTCAATCCATATGTGGAAGACATGACTCTTTATCCCTAAGACTCGGCCAAGATGTCTGGGTTTGCTCCCTCCTTAGATTCGCCACGCAAACCCATCGTGAAAACTTAACGTCTCTGCATCCATTGTATCACTTCCGTCCTATGCTTCTTTTTTTCAAGACGTAATCGGCCTTAGGCCTTTTCCATGGTTTGCCGCCTCTTGGAGGCAAGATTCTGCAGCTTTTGGTCTGTCGCATAGTGTTGCCATGTCTACTCGCCCTTAGGGCCACAGTGGGCTCATGGGGCATTGCCTTGGCTAGCGCCGGGGCAGGCGGCTGGCGGGACCGGGCTGCCAGCTGGGTTCATGGGTGGGTCGGGGCACGGGTGGCGTGGGGCGTCGGGGCCGGGTGGAGCGGGCGAGGGCGGGCGGCAGGCAGGCAAGCAGGCAATAGCCTTGGTGGCCATGCAGCGGTGTGCGTGCGTGAGTGTGTTGTGTGGAGTGAGTGAGTGTATGGGCCGGCCCACACATTTAGTTAGGGTTTCCCCCTTTGCCGAGTGCTGGGCCGGGCTGGCACTTGGCAAAGGCTTTTGTTTTTTTTAAAAAAAATTCTTTGCCGAGTGCCACTTCCTGGCACTCGTCAAAAGGCCCTCTTTGCCGAGTGCCAGGGCCGGCACTCGGCAAAAAAAATTTTTGTTTTTTTTGCCCCATTATTTTTTTGCAGCCTTAATATATTATTTAAAACTCCATGTTCAAATTTGGCACAATTTTGACTTTTTTGCTATATTTCATTAGTTTTTTTGTTTCGTTGAATTTTATGGAATATTTCAAATTTGAACTGCAGGTGCATGGAATAATCGAATTTGGTCGTTCAAAAAATGATATTCATGATATTTGGTGTATGTTGAGGCCGTATCCAGGAACTCACATGAAATTTCGAGCATCTTGTTGACGTAACATGACGAGGTACCTGCGGGAAAAGTGTATTTAAATTATATAAAATCCGAACGAAGTCCGAAAATGACGAAACTTGTCGGGGCGTCGTGTTATCGCATGTAGAGTCTATGGTAAAAAATTGAGAAGGTTTCGAGCAAGTTGCGACGTCGGATGCCTAAAACCCAGACATCTCCACATGTGAGCGAGCGCGCCGGTGGTAGGTACTGTAGCAGCTATCTAGCTAGCGCGCCTTTTGAGGCCGGCGTCGGCATCGGCGTCGCTATCGTTCTTGATCGCTCTCGGCTCGGCCACCATTTTGTGGAGTAGATGTATGGATGTCCTCGTCTTGTGTCGTCTCGTCAACATATCCTCTGCCTCTCATATCAGTTAATTTATGTACAGCAATAAATTAACTAATATGAGAGGCAGAGGATGTGTTGATGTATGACAGCAGAGCTGTAGAGAGGGAGCGGAAACACAAAGAATTAAGGCATATATATATTCAGTAGCCAGCTACAAAATAAGTTATTTTGTAGCCACCTCCATTTACGATAATTTTATATACTAATTTACGATAATGTTAATACATATTTACGATAGTTGGGTTACTATAACACATGGGGATATTTACCATAACGTTATAGTAAACCACTTAGTAAGGAGTTAGTATAATCTCGTAAATTAACATAGTAATTATCGTACTATATATCATTATGAGTAATAATATTGTGTCCCTTTGGTTGAAAATGTACTACTTTCTACAGTACTGTTTTACAAGCTCCCCCTCCCCCCCAAAAATAATTCAAAAAATGCTGCAGCACTTATCATGCTGGGCTAATGGGCCTGATGCTCACGGGGCTCCTCCATCCAACAAATTAAACAAATGTCAGTTTATCTATAGTCCAACAAAACTATTTACAATTACCGCAGACACGTGTACTCATTAATGATGACTCTGTATTGTCCTTGTCTTTATTTCCCAAAAGAACTGGACACAGAAGATATATTTAGTCCCTTTTTTGATCCATTATCAATAAAATTACCAGCCAAAATTATTAGTACTAGTGGGTCCAAATAGACTTGCTAATAAACCTACTCCCTCCGTCCCATTGAGTTTGTCGTTGGAAAACCGTGCCCCCCTCACAATCCCGATTCCCGAGCGACAAACTCAATGGGACGGAGGGAGTATGAGTTATTAGCTGGGAAGCTGCTGACTATTAGTCCCATTAGCAAGTTCAGAGTTGCGAATAGCTGCTAATAATCTATATGTACCTCTAACTCACTACCTTCAACTTTGTATTTGATAAGAGTCAAACAATCTTAAATTTGATCGAATTCGTATAAAAGATTGCAAACATTTAGGATATCGCATAAGTATCATTAAATTGACTATGCGATTTTTTTTCATAATAAAATTGGAGACATAATTGTTCATATTTTTCTTAAAACTTTAGCGAAACTTAGAAAAGTTTGACTTATTTAAGGAACGTTTTTTTTTATCATTATCAGTCCGTGGCCCTCTCTACCTCCTGCTCCCAAATCATGCCTCGGGGAGCATGACGCTTGCATGAAATTCAGTGCCTAGCTCGGTAACGGATGGGAGAATGTGATAGTTGGCGCGTGGCATATATGGCCGCGTTTAGATGGCCAAACTTTGGAATTTCGGTCACGATTGCACTTTTGTTTTTATTTGACAATTAGTGTTCAATTATAGACTAATTAGACTTAAAACATTCGTCTTTCAATTTTCAACCTAACTATGCAATTAGTTTTTTTTCATCTACATTTAATGCTCCATGCACGCATCGCAAAATTTGATGTGATGGATACTGTAACACTTTTTTGGGAATTTGGTTTGGAACTGAACAAGGGCAAAATCCAAATCGGCTGCGCTGTAGACCCGGCAGAGTAGCAGTGCAACACGACGGGAGTGTGGGCGAGCCCTGTTCGGCAGGCCGTCCAAACGATGGGGACTGCGTGCCAGTGCCTGCCTGCCAGATGATGTGGTCCATACATCAGCACATGCATCACAGTCCTGCGCGCGTCTGCAGCTGCATTGCAAGCATACGGCGGTGGCAGACAGTGCAGAGAGAGAGAGAGAGAGAGCCAGGAGAGTAGACTGTTGCATGCTTTGCCAGTGCCGTGTGCATACTAGGAGAGGGGTAGTTCTATTCCATCTCGTACGTAGGTACAACGTGTCGTGTCGTGTGTGCGCTCTGCTGTCGTGTCACCTGGGGGTTTGGATCCGGTCACTAAAGTCTAGAGGTGTCATAGGATATTATATGGTGTGTTTGGATATTAATAAAAAAATAAATTATCATCAATAATCCACGAGACGAATTTATTAAGCCTAATTAATCCGTCATTAGCACATGTGTTATTGTACCACCGCATTGTCAAATCATGGACTAATTAGGCTTAAAAAATTCGTCTCGCAAAACAGTCTCTATCCGATGGGACGGCGACTAAAATTTAGGATGTGAATCCAAACACAGTACAGCTACACTTGTCTGGGTGTTTGGATGCAAGGACTAAAGTTTAGTCCCAGTTGCATCAGACGTTCAGATGCTAATTAGAAAGGTTAAACATGAGCTAATTATTATAAAACTAATTACACAGATATAGACTAATTTACGAGATGAACCTAATTAATCTATCGTTAGCACATGTTTGCTGTAGCACCGTATTATCAAATCATGGGCTAATTAGTCTTGTAATTAGTACTGCAAATTAGTGTCTACGTACACAATCGATGTCACTCTGTCTTGATGCGTTCCGGCCTACCTCATCGATGGTTCGGTGGCATGCAGCGCGTCCGTCCTCGCTAGCTCTCCACTGTACTACAGTTTGGACAGGATGTCACCGTCGTCGCTGTGCTATGCAAGGGAGCCATATGGATCCATCGAGACCGAGTAGTGTACGTACCCAGGCAGCCATGCATGCAGCTGGAGCCGACGATCAGCCTCTCATCGATCTGAGGTACGTAGGACGTTTGTATGGAGCATTACGTAGAACGTTGTACGTACTGACTCCTCTACATAATATACTATACGCTCCAAATTTCGCAGAATTCGAATTCAAATGCTGCTATATTTTAATGGTGTTGGCATTATACACCATGCAAGGGGATACATTAGATCAAATGTCAGATGATTATCGCTGCGTGCGCAAGTATCTCAACAGATGGCATGGATCCGTACCTATTCAGCTGGTGCAACTCATCTTCATGGTCAATTCTGAGCACTCACATTTGATCTCATGTTACTGTACTACCTCCGATTAAAGTACCAACATTATATATGGTAACAGTTCCGGAAAAAGTGAGATAGGAGAGCGGTATGTCACCGTTGAAGATCAGAGCACGGTGATGGCGCCTGCACATGCTGGAGAGCTGCCGACTGAAGAAGGAGAGCAACTGACTGAAGAAAATAGAGAAGATGGCATTCAGACTGGAAAGCGTCACGGCCCTCATCGTATAAGGAAGCCCAACACCAGGCTGGCTGGACCGGAATGGGCCAAGTGAACGGGGACCCTGCGCGGCCCAAGATGGGAGGCGGTCTTGGACCCCTTCTTGTATCGTTGAGAGAGGAGAGGAGAATTCCAACATGAACACTTACCTGAACCGTACCTGAGGGCGACGGCGGCGGCGAACACAGCGAGCTGCCGGAGTTCGAGTTCGTGTATCCGCTGAATCCTACCTCGATTATCTACAGATATCTCGCTACGGTTACACGGTACTATGGTGTACGGTGACCGCAACAGCACAAAAAGAATCAAAGTACACCGTCTGGGCGGGCAATGTGCGAATGCCGTCGTCGTCGCCCGCGATGGTCGGTCGACGGGGGCAGGCGGCGGCGACGGCCTCCTGCTCGGCTGCCTTTGTCCCGTGTTCCTCGGGGACGTGCACAGGCTTCTTTGCGGCGTCGCCCTCCCAGAGCGAATGCTCTATCTGCCAATCGTTTGCGGCATCGCCCTCCCGGCGTCTGCTACAGTGAGTTTGAGATTTCAAAATCTATCTGACTGCTTTGCTTCTGCTCCGCTGTGCCCCCTTTTTTAACACCAGCTAGAAACTTTGCAGCCGGGCGGGCGTCGGCTCCGGTGGTGAGGTGAGCTCCATCTCGGTGGTGCCTGGCTTCACCGCTGTGTCAGCAGCAGCAGCAGGCAGCACCGCTGGCTCCTCCATGTCCACGACATCGGCGTCTGCGGCGGCGGCGTCGCCCTGATCGTGCCTTGTGGGTTGTTTCGATTGTTTAATTATGCAAAACTGTGAGTTTTCTTTCAGTAGTACCGTACTACTATCAGTGAAGCCATTTTTCTATGGTTTCTTAATTGCTTGCTGCAAATCCTGCAACTTGCCCGCCATTGTTTTTAACTGTGTTCACGTTTGTCATGAAAGCTTTTTTTTTTTGACTGTGATGTTGCTTTTGCTTTCACTGCTGTAACTCTTCTAGTTATGAGTGAAGTGGTACTAAGAAGTCCTGCTATCCATGACGGGCCGAAAACTCTAGGTCTCTTTCTACAGTACTTGTCATGTTGGGCTTATGGGCCTGATGCTCACGAGGCTCCATCCCCAACAAATAAAATAAACGTCACTAATCCCCGCCAAAAAATACTGATGAGGTTTACTAACCGTAGCAGGTTCACAACCATACTCAGTTCGTCAGTAGTTCAGTACAGGCCTACAGGGGGAGAAAAGGCTTCTTTTCAAGCTCTAACATCCACTACTCAGTTAGATAGGCTAATTATTTCTATTTTCAAAAAAGAAAAGAAGACCGCAAAAGGGACATGAAACAAATGCATTGCAACTTTAAGCTTTCCACACACTTAATCTGGAAAGACCATGTCTTCCTATAGTGTCTGACCATTCTCGTGCTCATAAATAACATGATTCGGATCAAATACAAGTACAAAACCAAGCAAACCAAGTTTGGGTGATCAACAGAAACACGAAATTACTGCAGACTTGCTAGAGCACCATTAACTAGTAAACTAGCATACTTCAAAGAAAGTGAAAATTAGGAAATCTCTTTCAACATAGGACATGCGGCAGCAATTTACTTTTTGGAACAAAAGCTGAGATCAATTCAATGATACGACTAAAAACCCACGAATATTTTAACTAGTTTAAGGTCATATATTTCTATAGTCAGCAAGTCACCACCCATTTAATTTGCTACTCATTTGAGCATAGACAGAGTGCGAAAGTTGGAATTTCACTCCAGTGTGTAGCATAACTAGGATAAAATAATAGAACCTGTTTAGGATAGAGTAAAATGTCAAACTCTCAATCTCTGCAAGTATGAACTTGTTCAGAGTTCTGGGATCAATGGTCGGGCAAAAAAGATTAAGACAGCATCCAGGATGTTTAACAGGAGGACAAGCAGCTAACGCAAGATGCGCCATGGATTTAACAATCAGTGCCGCTTTATTCAGCCTGAACTCAATTCATTATGTTGGATCCACCTGATCAAAACAGGCTAATTGCTGCACTCCTGGGCTTGCATTGCTCTGCACTGAAGTTGCCACTGACAGCAACGCACATCTATCAGTGTTCTTGGGCCTGTAGACGGAAAACATAGATGCAATGCACTCCAATTGCAGTAAGATATATAGAATCAACTCGTAGAGTACCCATCTCATCAATCAGCTATGCTATGCACTATGGACGAAGCACGGGCGTCAGCAACGGCTTCCCGGCGAAGAAGGCTTCGAGGTTCCCAATCATGAGCTCCTGGAGGTCGGCGCGTGACTCCTCGGTGGACACTGCCTCGTGCGCCGTCAGCACAACATTGTCCATGTCCCGCAGCTCCGGCGGCACGTGCGGCTCGTTCTGGAAGACGTCGAGGCCCGCGCCGGCGATCCTCCCATCCTGCAGCGCCGCGACCAGCTCCTGCTCGTCTACGTTCCCCCCGCGCGCGATGTTCACCAGGACGCCATCCGGGCCCAGCGCGTCCAGCACGCGGCGCCCGACGATGCGGCGCGTCGCGTCGTTGAGCGCGCACGCGACGATCAGAGCGTCGGAGTCCGCGGCGAGCGCGTGCACGTCGGGGAAGTAGCGGTAGGGGACGGAGGCCTTGGGCGCCCTCGAGTGGTAGGAGATGGCGCAGCCGAATGCCTGGAGACGCTTGGCGATCTGTGAGCCGATGCTGCCCAGACCGATGATGCCTACGCGCTTGCCACTGAGCTGACCAATCAATTGTATGTGTTCAGCTGATCAATCAATTGAATGGAGATGGAAAGAAGCCAAGATCCGAAAAAAAGAAAGAAAGAAAAAATCGAACCTTGGAGGTCAGCCGGTAGTCCCCTTGCGCCGGCCAGAGCCCTGCGCGGACGTAGCGGCCGGCAGCCGCGAGGCGTCGGAGCACGCCGATGAGGAGCCCGACGGCGTGGTCAGCGACGTCGACGGAGAAGATCTCGCCCGCGCCGGCGACGACGACGCCGCGGCCCGCGCACTGGGCGAGGTCGACGTGGTCCACTCCGGCGCCCGTGGTGACGACGCAGCCGAGGGAGGGGACGGCGTCCAGGAACGCCGCGTCGACGAGGATGGCGCCGCCGGCCACCACGAGCGCGGCGCGCGGGGGGTCCGGTTCCGCCGCGGCGGCCGTGAGGAAGGCCCGGAGCGGCGCGCCCGAGGCGTAGAAGTCGAGGACGCGGAAGCGCGCCCGCAGCGCGGCCGTGAAGGTGGCGTCCGTGCGGCGCAGGAGCAGGAGCCCTGGTTTGGCCGCGCCCGTCGCGGCGGATGCCATCGGCTCGGCTGCTGCGGTAGGGTTGTGTGTTCAGTGCGCGTGTGAGAACGAGCGGTCGGCAGTGCATCTTGCCATGTCCCACCCAAAGATGGCCATTCGGGCCGCCCGACCCGGCCCGACATGGGCCCGTGCCAGGCACGGCACGGTAGAGCACGACGGGCCGCCCCAGTCCACCGTGCCTAGCCGACAGCCTAGGCACGCCCGTCGGGCCACTTTCGTGCCAGTGCCGGACGGAAAAGCACGCACCTTTTAATGTGCCAGCCGCCCAAGGCCCGCATCGCAGGGGAAGGGAGAGAGGGTAGGCCGGACGCTGCGGTGAGGCGGCCCGGAGGAGAGCGCGTGGAGGCCCCGACGGTGAAGCGCTGGCGACCTCCTCGCAAGCCAGATGCGCATGCATGCGGCAAAGACAATGTAGATCGCCTCACATGGCGGGCTCTCCGCGTCCCGCATCACGCCCTCGACCCCATCCGTCTGCGTCGCACAGGAACCCGTCACTTTCGCCGTCGGTGGGGAAGGCGTCGTAGCCGCCGGTGAGGGAATGGGCTCACCAGAATCACTGTTGTTGGTGGGGAGGGCCCACCTCCACTGCCCCAGTGGTGGTGGTGGGGAAGAACCCTTCTCTTTGGTGAAGGAAGGGCCGCCCGCCTCCGAGGGCCGCCATGTGTGCCATGAGGCCTTTGGGGTGGGGATGGAGGCGTGGAGGCGCAAGCAGCGGTCGGGGCCTCCAGCGCCAGCCATGCCCGATCTTTGGAGAGGGGAGATGGGGACGGGAGCAGATGGAGACAGTAGTAGATGGGGAGGCGGAGGAGATGGAGACGGGAGTTAGGGTTCAGGGGTGGGAGCGTGGTGCGTGGGGGGCTGCTGGAGAACTGCCGCCACCATGTGGTGTCTGGTCGGCTTATATATGAGGGCGGGGATGGTGGGCGGGAGGGGGAGGCATGATGAGGAGGGGGAGAGGGGAGGCAGGGCTGCTTTGCCGGGCGTGCCGTGCCATTACCGACCTGGCAGCGGGCCCGAGCACGGCCTCGCTCCCTCGGGCCGGGCCGGGCTCGTGTCGGGCTAAAAAAGCGGGCTTCGTGCCGTGCCGTCGTGCCTCGGGCTGCACGAACATCTATAGTCCCACCAAACAGAGCCGCATGTTTTCCGTCTGAGGGCGTGCCAACTGTCATCATTGTAAGGACCGTCACGTAACAGGAGTTTGGCAACAAGATTTGCACCTGAATGGGTAAACGATTATCGCTGATAAATGGGTAAATAAATGATTGGTTATACTCACCGAATCCTCTGCTCCTACAGATCCAATCGGGAACGGAAGGATGACACCGCCGGCTGCCGGCGCGGACGCTAAGCCGTTGGTGCTGCTGTCGCAACCGTCGGACTCTGGCTTAACCCCGGTGATGGAGGGCCAGTTCCGCTTCGTCCTGGCCGCGGACGCCGACGCGGCCACGGCGGCCGAGGCCCGCGTCCTGTTCGTGCCGGGGCTCAGGCCAGTGACCGCCGATCTCATCGACCGGCTCCCGGCGCTGGAGCTCGTGTCCACGATCTCCGTCGGGTTGGACCACGTGGACCTCGACGCCTGCCGCCGCCGCGGGATCACCGTCACCAACGCCGGCGCGACGTTCGCCGTGGACTCGGCGGACTACGTCGTGGGCCTCGTCGTCGCCGTCCTGCGCAGGGTGGCCGCCGCTGATGCGCACCTCCGGCGCGGCAGCTGGGCCACAGACGGCGACTACCCGCTCGCCACCAAGGTAACCGCTTGACTTTGTCACGCCACGCGACTGCATTCTTGATCTTGATCCATGGATTGACCAAGTCAAACACATAGTGCATGATTCTTAATTTGTGCATGCAAAACTCTGCTCTATGCCCAGATGCAAATCAGGCCACCAATGCAGTTCTTTATTATTATAGTACAAAGACGTCTTATTATTATAATTTAGAAACGGAGGAAGTAGCGTATATAATATGATCAATAGCATTCATATATTCATATGATACGTGCATCAGTCGATTCCAATCCACCTTTCATCATGTGGATTCATGTAAGGGATGTTTCTTTTTTGTCATAGAACCGGACTGTAGAATCATGATTCCATCACATTTTAGTAACTTCATATAGGTTCTGTAAAAATTTAAATATATCTGTCTTAAAAGTTGAAGTTTACAATAGTGTTTTTCACATTTAACTCCTCAAGTAGCCACTCCTCCTCAGGGGACTACAACCCAAACCCACTTTAATCCCTCTAGTAGTCCCCCTGTTTCGCAAAGTAGGGACTATTTACGACTACAATGGACTCAATGGTCTCTAGTCCCATCTAACCAAACAGGGCCTCAATAATCTACTCAAAAGGCTCAATATGTACTAACATTCATTTCAAAATGATTGCTAACTTTGACTTTTACTGTTAACATTTTGAGTAAAGATATTTATTAATATATTGATGTGTTAAGTAAAGTGAGAGAAACATCATTTGATTTGTTATCGCAAGTACTTTAAACATGACATATATATCTGGCTAATTGCATATGTGTTCACGTAAAAGACAAAACAATCAAACATTAGACAGTAATAAAGTGAATGCTATCAATATAATTATTGTGAAACGGAGCACAATATTAGTTAACATATGTTTCTTAATTTGTTATTGTTGTATACATGTGTGAAAAGAAATATACAAACATGTTACACTGAACATATATATGTAAAAATTTATCCTCTGATAAGTATTACTTAATTTTAAATTCTGACAAAAAAAATGTTGTTGGAATGTGATTAGGATCCTAATTTTGTGGGATCATATAGAACTCTAACGTATGATCCTATCCTAACCCTTGGGAGTCTATAATTCATGACGATGGGACATGGATTGTTTTGGTGTCACATCAAAAGATTGTAGGATTCGTTTTGGATCTTGACAGCGTTATCAGCTTGCGCCCCGTTTAGATGCGAAATTTTTTTGCTTTTGGCTACTGTAACACATTCGTTTGTATTTGACAAAAATTGTTCAATTATGGACTATTTAGGCTTAAAAGATTCATCTCGCCAATTACGGACAAACTGTGCAATTAGTTATTCTTTTTACCTACATTTAATGCTCCATACATGTGTCGCAAGATTTGATGTGACGGAAAATCTTGAAAATTTTTGAATTTTGGGTGGTATCTAAACAGGCCTTGGCAGAGGTCCTCAAATTCAGGCATCATTTTCAGACCTACCTCGTTCGTTGCTTCCGAAAGAAAAAGTCGTGCTTTGGACGGTACCCTTTTGGCCTTTTCCATCGCAGTCCACAGTCGTGTCGTGCTCCCGCTCCCGCTCCCGCTTCGCCACCGAGAAGCGTAGGAGATGGCGCCGGCGACCCAAGAAGCCACCGAGAAGCGGTGACAGCAGAACTCATCGACGCTCTCCCGGCACTGGAGCTGGTGGTGGCCTCGTCCGTGGGCGTCGACCACATCGACCTTGCCGCGTGCCGGCGCCGCGGGGTCCGGGTCAACAACGCCGGGGACGCATACTCCGCCGACGCCGCCGACTACGCCGTTGGTCTGGTCGTCGCGGCGCTCCGCCACGTCGCCACCGCAGACGGTGGCTGGGCGGCGGCCCTAGGCGAATACCCGCTCGCCGCCAAGGTTCCCGATTGATTCATGCTATCTAGCGGCCTAGAATCGCCCTGCTGATTTCTCCTCCATCCAGATTCATTTCAGTTAGCATGAATGGACAGGTGAAGAAGATGGAAAACCAAAATCCGACTCCTTTATTATTTGCAGGTGAGCGGGAAGCGCGTCGGCATCGTGGGGCTGGGCAGCATCGGCTCGCTGGTGGCGCGGCGGCTGGCCGCGTTCGGTTGCCCCGTGGCGTACCACTCCCGCGCGCCCAAGCTGCCGCCGTGCCCCTACACGTTCTTCCCGACGGTGCGCGCGCTGGCCGCGGACAGCGACGTGCTGGTGCTGGCGTGCGCGCTGACGGAGGAGACGCGGCGCGTGGTGGACCGGGAGGTGATGGAAGCGCTGGGCGCGGGCGGCGTGCTCGTCAACGTGGGCCGCGGCGGGCTCGTGGACGAGCCGGAGCTGGTGCGTTGCCTGCGGGAGGGCGTCATCGGCGGCGCCGGGCTGGACGTGTTCGAGAACGAGCCGGACCTGCCGGTGGAGCTGTTGGACATGGACAACGTGGTGCTGTCGAGCCACAAGGCCGTCGCCACGGTGGAGTCCATCCGTGGGGTGCTCCATACCGTCTCCGGAAACCTCGAGGCCTTCTTCGCCGGGAGGCCGCTGCTGAGCCCCGTCGCGCTCTGAAAACTGAACCGACACTGCAACGTTGCATTGCCTTGCCACTGCGTGTAGGTTATATTTGCTGCAAATAAATTGCACTGTCGATATCAATCTTTTGCTGATTCGGAGGTTCATTGAGTGTTCCTTTGGTACCGTAATTATTAGTATCACTTTGACGCCAATGTGACATTCACGATGCAATTAGAGGTTCTATTTTTAAAATTTGCCATGTCTTTTTTTCTTTTTCTCATTTGATCAGATGAGTATTTTTGCGTTGAAGGAAAAAGATCTGCATTTTCACTACATATGTTGTATTCTCACAATGCAACTAGAGGTTCTATTTTTAAAGGCTAATGCTAGGAAGCGGCCCTCCGGGCAGCCGGACAAGTGGGCCGCGCGACACTAGCCTAAGACCCGCTCCTCTGTTTCTAAATAAAAAAATCAGCTCGTCCGCGTACTCTTTCTTATCCGCTCGCCTATCGCCTCCGGCGCTCGTCCGCTGGCTCAGCCAGGCGCGGCGCGCGACCGCCTCTAAGGCGCAGCGCTCAGCCGCTGACCCTACGAGGCCACTCCGGTGGCCCGTCGTAGCCATTCCCTGCGGCACCTCCGTCCCCGCAGCGCCAAGCCTGTCCTCTGCCGTGCTAGGGTGCGCTGCCCAGGCCATGGAGCGAGTGCTCACCCAGGCCACCCGAGCAGGTCCTCACCCAGAGGCGCACTGGCGAGCTCCATGCGCCGTG